AAATAATAAGATTTATTAAAATATAAAAATATATTATGAAATAATTAGAATACAAGTACTTGATAAAAAAATTTCTAATAAATTCCTTATTTTCAAAGAGTGTTGCTATTAACACTCCATAAATTAGTTTAAACCCTCCAATTTTTAGCTTTTTTTATTACAATAATAATCTCAAATAAAATTATACAAAGGACATCATTAATTTTGAGGCATTCCATCTCACAATTAAACATACACGCCTGCTGTATCATAAATTAGGGTTTATAAGAGCACCTACTTCCATCACCACCTATGCATTTTCCCCAAATCCCACTTTCAAAACCTACTCACCCTCAAAACCTTAAAAATCCTTTGGTGGCAATATTCCGGCGGTAACGGCGGCAATTATTTGATTACCTAATTTCTCTGGCAATGACAATAAGTGAAAGTTTTTCTGGCAACCACAACTCTATAAAACGACAAGAGTACAACAATAAAAGCTTAGAGGAGGTTTATAACTTTGATGTTGTTCTAACTCAGAGGAGATTGGCCTTGTAAGGATAAGTTTCTTAAAAAAATGACAAACTTAATAAAATATGTTCGTCATTTTTTCAGGACTAAACTCTCGAACATATGATCGAAATTCGGGAATACAAGCCTAAACATTATTTATTTGTTCAAGAACCGGTAACCGAACATTTATTATTTGTTCGAAAACAGGTAACCGAACATTATTCATAGGTTCGGACCTGTTTTACTAAAAAAAATAAACCAATTATTATAATTTTTTTTCTACGAGAGAAGAAATTATTATGAGAAAACTAAGAAATTATGTGTATATATATATATCTAGAGAGAAAGAGAGAGATAGCATACCAACTGTGACAATGGTGGATGAGGCAGCTGTAGACGCGCCCGCGTGGGCCTCACTACAGTTCGGACTCGATTTGTGTCACGGTTCTTAATCTGAACCAAAGAGTCCAAATCTAGCAAATCGTTTTGAGAAAACAGATTTTTAGAAAAAGAAGTGCCAAACATGGACTGCTTTGTCAGATACAGAGTCGCCACCTAAATATTTTATTTTGGGGAATTTAGGAAACCCTGACTCGGTGCCAAAGGCCACGTGTCCGTCATCACCAAAGTTGCCTCGGCTCGGGAACTTGGGTACGATCGGAGAAGGTCAGCTATGAGCACCCCCTCTCGCCCGATCCGAAGATCGGCCTCTACTAACCAAGATATCCGTTTTTGAAAACGTTATGTGTTCTTAAACCAATTATTAGCCTAGCATTACTATGTTATGCGCACGGCAAACAAGTATAGACTAGATTGCCTAATTTGGAAATAAGCATTGCATATCCGTTTGTCTTGAAAAACACTTTGGAATTTGCTACTCGCAAGTAGGCTAAAATACGGATTTCAATTAGTTTTTCCAACTCAGACAATCCAACCTTCACCCACAGGCATTCAAACAGTTTATCACATAAGCATCTAGCCACATGGTAAGCATGCTGTTATGATAGCATTCACATGCATGCGATATGCTAAAGCATGAAAATACTTACATCGTACTCCATGCCAAAACAATAAACTCGTTAGTAATCAATGCATGATCCAAGTCCATGTTTAAATGTCTAATGCAACACATACATGATGCAATTAGAGTAGGCTCGGCTAACCTAAACATGAGATGTGAAAGGCAATCAATTGATGCACGTATTCAATTCGGAATTGAAGTACAAATGCAGTTAGCATGATGTACCGAGCCCGGTGCATGCAAGACAAATGTATGGATGCACGCATGCGTAGCATAAGGTATGCTAAATTAAACATGTCCTATTACTAACCATCAAAGCAGGTAAGTAAAAGGGAAGAAAGAAGTGGGGATTGGAGGACATGTACACACACGCACCCACACTTATTACAGATTCGCCCTCGCTCGGAGGGACCAAATGAATATTACAGATAATTAACCTACAAGCTAATTAATTATTACAAATCACCTAGTTAATTAACAAATTAACTAATCTAGGGAAAAAACAGATAAGCCGCCTCGGGAAGAAAGCCCAATGCAACGCATGCTCGGTCCTGCTCGGAAGTGCACTGCCATGTGCAATCTGCCTCTGTTTTTCCTGCTCTGCTCCTCTGAAGACTGCCAAAGTCTCAGGATTTGCTCACTGGATGTTGAGGAGTGCCACCGGCTGGAGGGAATTATCACCGGCTGTGATTTGGTGTCCATCGGCACACAATGAATCCATCGGCCACCGATTTATTGCCGGTCGGCACTATATGCAGTCAATCGGCAAGAAGTTCCTGCAGAACCTGTTTGACAGCAGCAGAGGACAGAACTTTGCATGGCAATGCAATTCAAGCCATATATGCACCAATCATGTCCCTTATCATGTGAGTGAGTCAAAGGGACACGCTCCTTGGTTCTCGGACCATCAATCGCGCATTTCCATGCGTGATGGCCCAAGGGACCAAGTGTGCACATTTTGATGTCAAATGTAATGCAAACCAACAAACCAAAGCCCAATTCCTATCACTAGATCAAGGAATAAGACATGCATGCCGGATACATTGCAACCTAGGCATGCAAGCTAAGGATGCAACATGGGAATGCAAGATGTACATGTAAGCATGCAAACAAACATGCAAGGTAAGCATGTAAGCAAGCGAAGGATGGACTTAAGCATGATTTAGTCAGCTCTAATTAGGCCCAAAACAGTGGCCACAAGTGCTATGAAATGAGGACTAAACACACATACACACATGCACATGTTAAAGGGCTAACACTCAAGCACAAAAGGGCAACTCTCAAGCACGCTTGAAAGAGGCATAACATGGACTAATGGCATGCAAGGTAAGCATTGAAAATCATGTTACAAAAGGTGCTAAGCCAATTTAAACAAGATAAACAAGGCATGCAAACAGAGCCAAAAACCCAAGACAAGCCAAGAGGCTTAAACCAAGACTAAGTCAACCAAGCCTCACAAGCCTAAGAGGACGTAAAATAGGTCTAATGCGAACCTAAACAACACCCAAGGGACACCTAGATGGCATCTAAATGGCTCAAATTCAAAAGCATGTACAATGACCAAAACATGGAGCATGCAAGCCAAGCTTTCAAAGCTTCAAAGAGGCATCCAAGGCAAGCATACAAGCATGTTAAAGGGACTTAAATAACATGGCAAATAGTCCCAACCCACTACATTAAGGCAAGGATGCATGCTATACATTCACACACTTAAGGCCAACAAACCAAAAATGCAAAGGGGCTATACTAAGCATGCCAAAGTCGACCCAAACAACTAAGGACAGACCTCTAGCATAGCAAAATAAGCACAAAAGCTTCACAAAGCTAGACCTAAAACATGCTTGAACAATGGTTTACAACCTAAGGTATGTTAAGGCCTAAACATGGCATTACAAGGTAGGTATGCTAAGCATGCATGGTGTACCAAAACCAACATACAACAATGCTATTTCATGGAAAAATAAGCATAAATAACAGCCAAGACATGGTCAACATGAGGCTTAGCTAGGTGTTCATTAAAGAGGCAAAAATGGCCCTTTTCAAGGACAACAAGGAGAGGGGCTTCTTGGGACTTCAAGGCACCATCCTTACCACTGAAATCCCTCAAGATTTCAGTGGTGAGGAGGCCCAAACACCAAAGTCCCGGAGCTCACTCAAAATGGTTCAAAATGGAGCCTCTCAAGGCTTAAAAGGGGTCAAACACCTTCAAACCACAAAACACTCTAAACAAACTATTTAGAGGGCCTAAAAACAGAACTTTTTTATATTATACACTAAGCTCAAAAACAGTTCTAAGATAGGCAAAAATAGTATGTAAAAATGAGGAATAAAAGAGTAAGATTGTTACCCTTGAAGACCCTCTTCACAAATGAAGCTCCAGCAGCTTCTCAAGCTCCAAACCAGCTTCAAAACTCTGAAAACAATCCCTTAGAACCTCAATAGCCAAGGGAAGGTGTAATGGTAGGTGCTTGTGTGCAATACTATGAACAAATACACCTAGAACCCTCAAGAGAGAGAGAGATATAGAGATAGAATGTGTATCAAACCCTAACCCTAGAACTCAAACCCTAAAAATGGCTGTCTAAAATGTCTAACCCTTTTTTTTCTAACCCTCAAGCCAAGAGAGGAGGGCTCCTCTTATAGAGGAGCCAATCTTGTAAAGCTTACATGGTAAGCCAACAAGGAAGCCATCCCTCCATACACGTGTATGGAGGGGGACAAAATGCAAGCCAGCTGTATTAAAATATCTACAAAAGCAGATGAACAGTAGTCGGCTGCTCAAAATTGCCATTTTGACAAAATGGACTGCCGACCGGCAACAAAGAATGCCGACCGGCAATATACATTGCTGATGGCAACAAAACACCAGCCGGTGGCCTCTGGCTATGGGCGGTGATATGTGGGGATGCCTCACAAGGCATTCCCTGCCCTTCCAAGGCAAAACACAAGTGTTTGGTGTAAAATCAGACACTAAACAGTCGAGTTCGGAGATCCTGAGGCAAGGCGCGTAGCCAAGACCTCCGGGAACTCCAAATGAACACAAACATAGATGATCACCGGGTGTTCAAACGGTGACGTCCAAGTCTTGAGGACGGTCAAAAATGGGGTGTCTACAGCAGCAAAGACAGTAATCATATTGCCTCTTCTTCTTCTTTGTTAAGGTTTTTTTAGAAGTGAGATTTTTTTGGGATATACATTTAATGGATGAAATGTTTTCACAATGATAATTTTAATATTATTTAGGAGAAAAAATAATTTTAAAAATTTCAAAATTTATAATAATGTCCAAAAAAAATGAAAAGTTAAAAATAATTCATGACATTAATGGTACCGCTCTTTTAAAATATGTACTTCAAAGTGTTTGCCTCAACAAAGAGGATGTAATCTCTGCCACCAATCATCAAACAAACAAACAAACAAACAAAAAACTTTTTGTAAGGTCAATTTTACCGAAACGACGTAGTTTCTGCAGCAAACTAACATCCCTCTTCCAGTGGTCTGTATCATTTTATTCTCGAGTCTCTCTTCGCACATCACACCCTACTGTCACCATTCATCGACTTCAGGCAAGATTCGCAGACGACTACAGTCTTGGTTAGCGAAATCTACTCACACGAAGCAAGGTAATTTTCAACTTCTTTTTTCAATCAGCTTCGACAGAGACCCCTCTAATCACCACCTCCACCACCCCACACACGTGGCGGTTGGTGATCGAAGAAGAAGGAAAAAAAAAAAAAAAAAAAAAAATTCTAACCAATGAGAGAGAGGGGGGTCAAGGGGTTGGGGAAAAGGGGGTCTGAGGCTTTTTCCTTTTTCAATATCCTAATTTTGCAAACTTTAATTTTGATTTTCCAAAACCCTAATTTTGAATACAGTTTTGTGAGTTTGAAACCCTGATTTACCCTGATTTGTTAATTTATTCAAGATGCTATTTATGAATTTCTGAATGAAAGTGGCTGTTTACCTGTCAATTTGTGTAAAATTTGCTCATATATTGAAGGAAATGGTTGTTTAACCTTGTGGAAATTGTGTTTGTTGCCCAAAACCGCACCGAACCGTTTGCCCCCGGTTTATATGTTTATCTCGGTCTGTTTGGTTCCCAAAATTATAAAACCAAATGAATCAGTTTGGTCCAAAAACTCGAAAAAAATTGGTCCCAACTTCACTGATTTCACCCCTACAACCCATCACTATGATCACTTTCACTAGCAGCCATCACTGATGTCTCTGTCTTTATAGGTTTTATTCAAATTCTTCCCTTCCCTTCCCTTCCCTTGGCATTGAATTTTCTGTTGAAGAGAAATGGCCGATGAAGCAAACAGAACTGTATCTCTCTCTCTCTCTCTCTGTGTGTGTGTATGTGTATTTATAGTTGTCTGTATGCGTTTAGAGTTTTTAGTTTGATTATATTTCGCATTTTGTTGGTATTGAATTTGTGAACAGGCATTTATGGAGATTCAAGGTCGCATGATTGAGACTACTGGGAAATTGAAGCAGGTGAGATACTCTCTTCTGATTCTTCTATGTGTTTGTTTGTATCAATGAAAATAGCTTTGTCATAAACGTATGCACCTCATAGCAACACCATCGAAATTGGTAAGTTTTGCCACAAAATGGATAACTTTTCTCATCACAAAAAATATAAGTTTTACCATAAAGTGGTATAACTTTGGCAGTCATAATTTGGAAGTGCACACAATAAATTCCTCTTTTGTATCTTTTATCACAAAGTGTCGTAACACATACCACAAAAAATTGTAACTATCACCACAAAAAATCGTAGCTTTCTTATAATGTGCTCCTTTTTAGGGGTGTACATTGTAGCCTTTCTCTAATCCTTAATGTTGGAATCCTCTCATAAACAGTGGAAGCTTCATGATTTCTTTCTAGGGTATTCATCCTAAAGAAATCCTATATCTATTATTAACACATAAATTTTAATGATCGATGTGCAAAAAGTTCATTGAAATAGTTCATTGATTGAAATGCGTAAATATGTGTGTGTGTGTGTGAAAGTATTTTGGATTGTGTATAAAATTATTATGTTTTTTTATTTTTTGACATTTTGATTTCCTTAATAATAAGCCTATTGAGCTTGTCATTAGCATGATTCATAAAATTGAATGCAATCAATTATCTTATAAGACTCTTATAATGCAGAAAATAATTCAATAAATGATCTGTTAATAAATATATAAAATATAGTTTTGGTAGAATACACACTGAATGTAAGAAGGGCGAGAGAGAGAGAGAGAGAGAGAGAGAGAGAGAGAGAGAACAAATTGAGGAGGGAAGAAAAAAAGGGAGGAAATATCAAGCATGTATGAGTGTCACATGTATCTACTTTACAGCATGGTTGTTAAAATTGCGATCCGGATCGTAGGATCGTACAATCCTACGATCCTACTTTGCCAAAACGATCCAGATCGTTGTAAGATCGATGTTATAACAGGATCACAAGTAGGATCGTGTAGGATCGCATGAGATCGTGTAGGATTGTATGAGATCGTATAGGATCATAGGTAGGATCGCAGGTAGGATCACAAGTAGGATCGTAGATTTTATGATTTTTCACCTTATTTTTAATATGTATCATTTTAATTTTTATTTTAATCTTTTTTTTTAATAGAAAGTAGGATCTTACGATCCTCGATCCGATCTTACGATCCTCGATCCGATCTTATGATCCGATCCACCAGACCCTCTCACCGATCCTACTTAGGATCCCGATTTTAACAACCTTGCTTTACAGTAATGCTATATTTCTTTAATTTTTTATTATAATTTATTTTTAGTCTTATTTGACACAATTACAATGATTGAATATTAATGGAAACTTGTGCATCCTTGAAAAGGGGCATAGTGTATGCACCCACCCATAACATACGTAACATAGTCACAACATCTCATAACAAACACCACGGCATGACACAACTTTTATCACCAAAATGGTTTGTAACATTTCTCACTACAAATGGTTCGTAACATTTACACCACATTGTTCATAACATAACCACAATGGTTAGTAACTTTCTCTTTAAGGATGCACATCATAGATTCGCATATTCATAGATTCAACACAAATTGGCAGGATACACCCCACAAATATTCATAACTTACCACAAAAATTCTCAATTTTCTAATGATAAGGGTGGTGCGTAGTAAAACACTTTAATTCTGTTGTTATTTTCAAATCTTTATGATTTATGAGTTAGATGATTGTGTTTATGTGCAACCTTGAATTATTTGTCTGATATAATATTGGTGTTTGTTGAGAAGGAACATAATAATTTGCTGGTGGAATGTGATAGTTTGCTTGCATCTTAAATTCTTAGGCCACGTTTGTTTGACGGATTAGGTTGGATGGGATTGTTAGTGAAATGATTGTTAGTGAAGGGATTGTTAATGTGGAGATTGATAGTGAGGGGATTAAGTAAAAGTGTGTTTGTTTTGATGATAGTGTGGGAGATAATTAGTGATGGGATTGTTAAATTATTTTTGTGTAAAATAAATAAATAAATTATTTCTATATTAAAAAAAATTAAAACAAATATTAAAGTAAACAAGTGCACTTGGTAAAAAAAAATGAAATTAAAAAAACAATTTTTTTTATATAAAATAGACTCAATCCGCTCACTATTTTCCTAATCCCACCCAAAATCTGCCCAAGCTAATCCCCCTGTGTGAGGGTATTCATAGTCCCATGGGACTACTAGTCCCCTCCTATTTTTTCCAACCAAACATGGGCTATGTAGGGCCCACGGGATTGGTAGTCCAATCCCCCCACCTATGGAGCCAAACAAACATGGCCTTAATGTAGTGTAAGTTGAAACTTGGAGTATAATTCATTGAATAGCTAAAATGCTTATGTACAAGTCAACAAATATGTGAAACAATTTTTCAGTACAGTTTTGATGAGAGGTCCTTACAGATGTGCTGCCATGTTTACCTGTTTGCATCTGATCATGTTAATAATGTTTACATCATGCATGAAGAATATATCGTGAAATTTTGTCTTGGCTCATATTTCTATTTGACTATCTATACTACTGCCCAGGTTTTAATGAAAATGTGCTAATTCCATATCATTGTGTATTATAGCACTTGTAGATCAATCTGTCGGTGCGGTGGTGTGAATTTTCGTCTATTGTTGTCATATTTTGATTCATGGCACGGGGCTAATATTTAACATGTAACTTTCTTGATTTTTGATTTTGACGTTTAGTAGCTAAATTAATTTATAGCATTTGAAGAATGAGATTATTCTTAAGTTTTAAACTTAATTAGGGAATCCTTTACTTGCAGGTTCAGAATCAAATGCGAAACAAAGAAGGAGAAAAGAAGCGCGCTTATTTAACTTTAGATGAGCTGCGGCAGTTGTCTGATGATACAAATACATACAAATCTATAGGTATGGAAATGGAACCATAACCTATCATAGAATTGCATGTTTACAGTTGCAAACTAGCCTCTCTATGGTACAACCTTTTCAACCTAGTATGCTATGTGATTGGCCGTACAATCTCTTGACCAATTGTGAATAGTTCCTCCATTGCTGATATACTAGTGTATTGTATGCCATCTTGAGACAGCATTCACCCAACTAGTGTCCATGCCTTCTGTATTCCTTATTGATTTGATCTATGTCGAAAGGCAATTTATTTCATTTAATATCAATATTTTTCTTGTTTTGCAGGGAGAACGTGAGTGCTCGACAACCTGTACATACCCACTAATAATTTGCTTTTAGTCCCGATTCATGATTTGCCTTCATGGGTTTGTTTGTTTGTTTTTACCCTACTTTTCTTTGAATTTCTATGAATCGCTTCTTCTCCCCATTAAATATTGGCCAGGTTTGTTTTAGAGCCCAAATCAGTTTTAATGGAGGAACAGGAACAAAAGCTCAAGGGTAGCGAAACTGCTATTGCTTCCTTACAGTGTCTTTTCTTGTCTATTCTTTCTTTGTTCTTGTCTTCAGCATACTGGCATGCATCATTATTATGCAAAATTGAAGTTATCAAATGTGGTCTCACCTGTGTGTAATGTATGTGTATATGTACCCATCTATTACATTATGTTTTGCCTTTAGGTAATAAGCTCAGATATCTTCATTTTTGCTAACAATGCTGGTTAAATAATGTCAACATTTTGATTAATTGATCTTTAAGTGGAATTGAAAAAGATTGGGAATCCAAAGTAGGGTTTGCATCATGAATACATGTTGTTGTTGGGTTGTCTTTTTATTTACCTTTTGATATTTTGTGTGTGCATGGGTAACTGACGTTCATATACTCCTTTTGGATTTTTTTTATATTTATTTTAATTCTTTTTTTGTTCATTAAATTTTAGTTTTCCATCTTGAATTACAGGCCTCTAAGGAGTATTTGGAGAAGCAGATGGTAGAAGTGCAGAACAACCTTAGGGAGCTATTACAGCAAGATCCCAGTCTTGCTCATCAGATAATGTCAATGTCAGTGTAATGTGAAACCCGATTTTCTGAAAAATTTCTTTTGTATTACTTTCTTTTTGTTTGTTTCCTTTCTCTTTCACATGTCAGCCAAAACAAAGGAGTTTGCTCTGTTGAATGCTGCACTTTAAATACATTTAGAGAGTTTGCTCTGTTAAATGCTGCAAGCGAACCAGTTTTAAAAATCTAAGGCCTTGTTTGGTTTGTTTTTCAGAAAAAATTTTGAGAAAAATTCTCTACAAACAAATTTTCAAGAGTAATCAAACCAAACAAAATTTTCCAAAAAAAATCTCAAAATTGTTTGGTTATCTACTTTCCAAAATCACTCTCTCTCTCATACACATCAAATTTATCACTTTTTTTAAAACTCTTTCCCCAAAACAATTTTTCAAAACCATTTTTGAAAAAAGTCAAACCAAACAAGTTTTCGTACTTTTTATCTCAAAAATTACTCTACAAACACAAACCAAACATACCCTAAATGTCTTCAAAAAGAGTTGTTACTTTTTATAGTAGTTTATTATTGCTTGGCAAAACTGTCTCTTCTTCAGCTTTTTGCCATACTGGACTGTGAACTTATCATAACATTGCCAAGAATTCCCTTAGAGGCACTCACATTCTCATTCACTGTTTTAGAGGATAATACTATTAGTACTATTTATTTTATTTTATTTGCTGCTGGTTAGCCAATGAATTAAGTAAAGATGTCACTTCAGCTTGTAAATGAAGTTTATACGAACTTTATTTGAGTGTAGCATTCTTCTTTCTTATTAAACCGATAAGAAACAACTTTGTCGATGCCCAGTTCTGCCTCTGCTGTTAGGGCCCTTTCACTTTCCTTTGCCAACAAACAACAATGTTCTCCCCTCTCCTTACTAGTGAGAGCGTGCGCGCGCGCACACACACACACACCACCATGACTGGCACAACCTGGCTTCTTTCTCGGGCAAACTAAAATAAGGAAGAAAGAAATGCTTCGCAGTTCCCACTTCCATAAAGATAGTAAGGAGACATAGGGCACAAGATGGGGCCTTGCCTGGAACAAAAGTATTTTGGGAACAACTAAGAAATTGAGAAAAATCAATCTGCCTTGCCTGGAATGAAAATCATTTTGGAACCTTTCTTTTTTGGGTGGCAAAAAAGAGAAATTCATTGATAGAGATAAAGATTACAAGAGTTTAAGCATCCATACAATTATATAAAGCAACCAATACAAAATAACATAAGCAATAACACTAACAAAAGCTAAATGTAATCGCGAAAGCCTCCATAGCTAATTGCCTCTTCATCCATTATTAAAGGGTAAGAAGTATTGCTTTTCGCATGAATTCTTGAAAAAGCAGCAAAACTAGCCAAACGGAGGGTTTGCGAGATCAACCAGCTATTACCTAGTGAGATTCTGCAAATATTGAAAGAACGAACTAAAATGCAGAAATCAAAAAACAATGGGGCTGCTGTGGCTTCGAATTCTTTACTGTTCTCCAGCTGTTTGAAAGAAAGGTTGAGAGTTAGTAATGATATTAACATTTACAAAAGAGTGTTCTTGGGCGCACTTGAAGGCAGCAATAGCTGCTGCTATGTGAGTGCAAAGCCTTTGAACAACAATTTTCTTGAATAAAGAACCCACAGAACAGTTACCTATGAAGTATGGGTACTTCGAAAAACATGCCGTACCCGTACCGGGTACTTACCGGCATACCGTACCTCGTATGGTACTTCTGCATACGTACCGGATACATGAAACACGTACTCAAGTTTTTTCTTCTTAATTTTGACGTACCCAGACGTACTTAGTATATATCTAAGCCGTACCGTACCTCAGTTGAAATAATATTTTCCTTCTACTACAGAGATAAAACTCATTTTATTAGATTTCTTTTTTAGTTTTTGTTTTATGCTTTGCATGATTTTAAAATTAAACTATGGTTTGTAAGCTATTTAATATATTGACATTTAATTTTGATTTATATTTTTCCTTTTGGCATTAAATGTTAATTATAGGTTGGACCTTAACAAATTAAACTATTTAATTAATTTTTGCATTACTCTAAATTAAAAATAAATATTTTTTTACAAGCGTACCAAGCCGTACCTGTACCAGTATCCTATTTTTTTTGAATTTTACCGTATCAACGTACCCGTATCGTACTAGTACCCGTACCCGTACCTATGCTTCATAGACAGTTACTAAGATTGAACACAACTCCAATCCCTACCGCTGGATCATTATTGTTGCAAACGACACCGCAATGTATGTCAAGGGCAACCAAATTATTCTCCTCACAAGTTGCATTGTTTTCAAAAAAAATTGGGGTTGAATGCAAGGCTCGACTAAGGGTTGGTTTGGGAATATGCTATTTTAGTAACTTTTTAGTTAAAAAAACTAGTATGTTTGGAATATGTTTTGGCTTTTTAGGAAAAAACTTGCAAAAAATACAAAAAAAAAAAATGAAATCTTTGACTTTTTTGTATAGTTCTTTGGCTTTTTAGTTTTTTTAGTGACTTGTTGACTATTTGACAATTATAAGCTGTTCCCAAACCAAGCCTAAAAGTTGGGGTCAGCGAGGAGACTATGAGAAGAGATAGTGAGTGCTTGTGAAAGGGAAGAGTAAAGGATGTTAACTTAAAGCATAACTTGCACGGGGTTCAGTTTTTTCAAAATCAAATACAATCTTATTCCTAGCATCCCGAATGATCTACAATATGCAAGAAATTTGGAGTAGAATATATATTTGTTTAGGCTTGCAACTAAGGTTCTGAAAAGCGGTTGTGGTCGCCGTAACGGTGGCGGTGGCGCGGTTGCGGTTGCGGGGTGTAAAGGCCGTAGTGTAACGGTTGCGGTAATCGGAACCGTGAATTTTTTTATTTTTTGCACAATTTGAAAAAAACTTACTAATACGCATATTTTTTTTCCTTGATCATATTTATTGGGTTAAAAATAAATATTGATCAATTTTTATAAATTTTTAAGAGTGATTCAATATATTTTATATTTTTAAATCATTATAAACTAATTTTTTACATTTTATTTTAATAATTAATGACTTTATTTATACAAAAAATCAATCACTAACTATTATATATAAGATAAACAATGACAAAAGTAAGAGAATAAATAAGAGCCCAAATATATATATATATATATACATATTTTAACCAAGCCAAATAGATAATGACCACACTTATTATTATTATTATTTTCAAACAATATATAAATAGACACACACAAACAAAATGGTTGAGTGATAGCAGTTGAATAGAATAGCATAGGTCTTACAGCTCAACAAATTAATAACATGTTCTTCATCTTCTCTCTTCTCTTTCTCTATTTCTTGCTCTTTCATTTTCTTTCTTTATCTTTCCTCTTCTCTCTATCCTTCTTCTCCCATTTTCAGCTTTTTTTTGTGTGTTTTTTTTGAAAGAAACAGTTTGGAACTCTGTTATTAGAATCTTACGATTCGCGATTTGATTCCCGATTCGATTCGCAATTTTTACAAAATCGATACAAATCTAAGGGTGAATCTATTTTGAAAGTGAATCTCTAGTGAATCGCACGATTCACAATCGATTCACGATTCGATTCACTTTTTACGATTCATGCAATTTTTAAAATTATTGTGTCTGACATATTTTCGACTCTATTTTTCCTCCAACTTTTTAGTAAAAATGACATAATACAACTTTTAATAGCATTTAATACCAAAATAACCAACATATATACATGATTTGTTATTATTTTAGCGATCATGAAGTTTTTAATAGGATCCAATTAGATTTAGTCAGACCCAACATATTTTTAACCTTTCTTCTCATTTTTTTTTTCCTTTAAAAAATTGTAATATATCTTTTAAAGATGTTTAAGATTAAAATTACACTATGAATTATCTATTATTATTTTATTAAATTAAATATTACACGTATGAGATTAGTTATACTTTTTAAAATATTTTAGACTTTAAAAAAAAAGATTCTAAATGATTCTTTTTTATTATTTGTTCACTGTTACTTAGAAAAGTAAGTATGCTTATTGTCCAAATATCAATATCGTTATTAATTATTGTTATTTTAGAAATTGATAGTTTGTCTATTTTGTTATTATTTTTATTAAGAATAGTTGATAAGAAATATCTAAAAAGAAAACAGGTAAGATGGTGATCTTACATAGGAACGTTTGTTAACTTCTTACTTATTAAACTACGTGTTTATCATTCAAAATAACATTATCATTAATTTAAGTCTAAATATTTTATATTCATAAGATATATTTAACATCTAAATGTGTAAATATATGTTTTTAAATAATTTAGAAGAAGTGACCGAATCTTTACGATTCACGATTCAATTCGATTCGATTCGTGATTCAGTACGAGACCATTTCGATTTACGATACGAATCCCGATTTGACAATTATGGTTTGGAACCATTACGTAACGGTGCGTAACAGACCGTTACGGCTGTTACAGCACCGTTACGGCCGTTACGGTAGTCGCTACGGCCGACACATCTGTGAATCTCAATCACACAGCAAAAGCGGCCGTAACGGGTGGTGGTAACTGTCAAAACCGTTACGTAACGGCGTTACGTAACGGTTGCGGCCGCTTTTTAAAACCTTGCTTGCAACTAAAGGCAAAATTAAACCGAAAACCCAACCAATAGTACAAAGAAGATGACTGGATTGTTGAAGTTAAAATACTAACCTGAGAACCAAACCAAATTGGTCTAACAAAATCACAAAAAAGAAATGTGAATGGAGGTTTCAATGTGCCTAAGGAAAAAAGGACAAAAGATATCTCTGTTCCAAACCCTGCTTGAAAGAAGCTCACCAAGAGGAAGACAATCATAGCCGATTTGCCACAGAAGGAATTGTATTTTGAAAGGAATTGGGATAGACCGAAGTTGGTCCCAAGTAAATTTCGGCCAAGAGGTGTGAATAGTGGAGGGCACTAAATCATAAAGAGAAGAAGAAGATGAAGAGGAAGGAAACACCTCTTGATGCTTCCGATTAATAAGAAGATGATATGCTGAGAGTGAAGTCCCCTGAATGAGAGAAGCCCCAAATGAGTATCAGGATATTCAAATTGTGAGAGAGGAAGAGAGAAAATGAGCAAAACAATGGGAGGGGGAAAGAGAGAATTTTTTTAGAGGGACATTCCATTTAT